GCCTCCCCAATATACACATGCATACCATTTGTTACCTTAATATTATAACTATCTAATACATAAAAGCAACTATCCTATCTGTGTTAGTGGTTGAACGCAGATCGTCACGGCATTCGGTGACTTCTTAGCCTCATAGTCGATATCTGCAGCAGTTGTTGACCCAGATGAGGGCAAAGCTCCTCGTTACTGAGGCAGGCAAGCCGACCCGAAGGAGAAGGAACAGTCGACATCTCATCCAGGCTGTGACGCCAACTTCTGGGCTGCTGCTTCTGTTCGGGGATCGACTCAGCGAGTCTGGCGTGCAAACATCTTCGCGCTTGGGCCCATCCACAGTGGTTGTGAACACTAAGCGAATTGAAGCTGCCTTGATCGACATTTGAATTCTCTCCCATATGCCCTTCTCTTGTCGTTCTCGTTCCTCCTATGTACTTGCTGTATCAAAGGCTGATTCTGATGACAAACGTATGGGATCAAAATCTGATGTCGAAGAAATTTCGCTCCCGTCCAGAATCCTCGGTACTGACGTCCACCACGGGCTTCGTTAGATGTGTTTGATCTGTGTTGGAGGATCTCTTACTACTACTACTACTACTACTACTACTACTACTACTACTACTACTACTACTACTACTACTACTACTACTACTACTACTACTACTACTACTACTAATAATAATAATAATAATAATAATAATAATAATAATAATAATAATAATAAGCCATAAATACATACAAAAAAATAAAAAACAATTCAAGAGTGAGAAATGATATATGTACAGTATACTGTATTGTGTTGTCGAAGTAAGAGAAACAATTGATATCCTGCAATTGTGTGTAAATGAGGCAGAAAGTCAGAACTTAAGTAACAAATATCCTATTAGTAAAATCCCAAAGTCCGTTTGTGCAATGGAGCAAATTTAGTGTGAAAATTTGCAAACAATTTCTTTATCAAATTTATACATTGTATAAACCGGAGAAAAATAATAAAACTTATTCTTACCAGTGTGGAGAAGTTATCAAAACGTTACAGCTAATAAAACAAGTCGACTAATTCTTAATGATTAACAGTTCGAGTATAAAAGGTTTCATCCCAAGGGACGCCATCTTATTGTTTACAGTCACTCAGCGGTGCTCAACTGTCATTTACTTTATCACATCTAAAAGGAGTTCATAAGTGGTGCAAAAAACTGTCTATGGTGCTTAATGTAACTAATAAAAGTGATCACCTGAAGATTAGCCCACCGCCTTATTTCACCTGATAATTAAACACCAGGTGAATAGGTTATGTTAGATGTTCGGTCAGGTTAGATTAGGTTCGGGGTAGGGTGTTTAATTACAAGGTGAAAAAAAATTATTGAGGTCCCTAATCTTCATGTGATCATAAGATTGACATATTCTTTAATTTTATATTGAATTACACCACACGTTTACCAAAACAAAAATATTAATGAATGTGAACTATAATTACCAAGAGATCATCTGAGGATTAGCCTACCCCAGCTTATTTCACCTGAGGATAGTGTGGTTAATCTTTAGGTGAAATAAGCTGGGGACTAATTTTCAGGTGATCCTTACCAGTCGATGACAAAATAAGCCCAGTACAAGGAACACACACACACACACACACACACACACACACACACACACACACACACAAACACACAAACAATGTACAACAATATTTGATCACAAAACAGTCGTCGGTTTTCATACAAGGTTGTGCTATTATATATGGTACAGGTTACTGTGTGTGGTGTCGTCTGTTCCGCTGTTTCTACTCCTGTACCCCGACTCTTGTATCCCGACTCTTGTACCCCAACTCTTGTACCCCAACTCTTGTACCCCGACTCTTGTGCCCCGACTCTCTTGTACTGACTCTTGTACTAGCTCTTGTGCCCCGACTCTTGTACTCCCACTCTTGTACCCCGACTCTTATGCTCCGACTCTTTGCCCCGACTCTTGTGCCCCAGCTCTTGTGCCCCGACTCTTGTACCCCAACTCTTGTACCCCGACTCTTTTGCCCCGACCTCCTGTACCCCGACTCTTGTACTAGCTCTTGTACCCCGACTTTTACACGACTCTTGTACTTCCGACTCCTGTGCGGCTCTTGTACCCCGACTCTTTTACCCCCCGACTCTTGTACCCCGACTCCTGTACCCCCGACTCTTGTGCCCCCGACTCTTTTACCCCGACTCTTGTACCCCCGACTCTTGTTCCCGACTCCTGTACCCTGACTCTTGTACCCCGACTCTTTTTACCCCGACTCCTGTACCCCCGACTCCTTACCCCGACTCTTGTGACTCTTGTACTGACTCTTGTTCCCCGACTCCTGTACTGACTCTTGTACTGGCTCTGCCTTACTGACTCTTTACCCCGACTCTTGTACTACGACTCCTGTACCCCGACTCTTGTACCCCGACTCTTTTACCCCGACTCTTGTACCCCGACTCTGTTCCCCGACTCCTGTACCCCCGCTCTTGTACCCCCAACTCTTGTGCCCGTCTCTTTTACCCCGACTCCTGTATCCGACTCTTGCTGACTCTTGTACGACTCCTGTACCCCGACTCTTGTACCTAAGATGGCGTCGATATAGTACCATGGTTTAAAGAGGTGAACCTTTTGAACTTTTTTCTTTTTTACGGATGTTTATCTGTACGTCTGAGAGCAGTGTTGCCAGCATGATCATACGAGTACAGTGTTGCCAACATGATCATGCAGTACAGTGTGCCAGCATGATCTTGCGGTATTGATGCCAGCATGATCTTGCAGTACAGTGTTGCCAGCATGATCTTGCGTGTACAGTGTTGCCTTGCGAAGTGCAGTGTTTATAGCATGATCTTGCAGTACAGTGTTGCCAACATGATCTTACAGTACAGTGTGCCAGCATAGTCTTACCAAGTGCAATGATGTCCCAAGTATGGAGTGTAGCCAGCATCATGAGTCTTAGGGCTGTAGGTTTCACATGGTCATGGGGAGTACAGTGTTGCCAGAAATGGGAGTGTTACTTGGCATTGTCTTGCAGTGCAGTGTTGCCAGCATGATCTGAGAAGTACAGTGTTGCCAGCATGATCTTGCGAGTACAGTGTTGCCAGCATGATCTTGCGAGTACAGTGTTGCCAGCATGATCATGCGAGTACAGTGTTGCCAGCATGATCTTACGAGTACAGTGTGCCAGCATGGTCTTGCAAGTGCAGTGTCCCAAGTATGGTGTAGCCAGCATCATGGTCTTGGGAATACTGTGATTTCACATGGTCATGGGAGTACAGTGTTGCCAAGTAAGTGTTGCCAGCATTGTCTTGCGAGTACAGTGTTGTCAGTAAGGTCTTAGGAGTAGTGTTGCCGAGTAATGTCTTGGGAGTACAGTTTTGCCAAATACTGTAAGGTCTTGGAAGTACAGTGTTGCCAGCATGGTCTTGGGAGAACAGTGTTGCCGGCATGTTCTTGGAAGTACAGTGTTGCCGGCATGTTCTTGGAAGTAGAGTGTTGCCAGCAGGGTCATGGATTAAAGTCCTACCAGCATGGTCTTGAGAGCACAGTGTTGCCAGCATGGTCTTGGAAGTAGAGTGTTGCCGGTAAGGTCTTGGGAGTACAGTGTTGTCAACATGGTCATGTAAGTACAGTGGTGCCACGTCTTTGTAGTGCAGTGGTGCCACGTCTTTGTAGTACAGTGGTGCCACGTCTTTGAAGTTGTCACACATGACTCAAAGGGCGTGGCTGGTAATTCACGTACAGACAGCCACCACTGACGTCTAAGGGGGATGAATGAGGGCTCTCACAGATGAGTTATGCACAAACAACCATCACGGACGTCCAGCAGGGGTTGACTTAGATGCCTACTGGGGATCCAAATACGAACAGCCATCCACGTCCGCTCAGCAGGTGGTTGTGACCCTTACGGATGAATCACAGACAAAATCCACGGACGTCCAGCAGGGGTTGACTTAGAGGCCTCACAGATGTATCACGTACTATCAACCATCATGGATGTCCAACAGTGGGATGACTCAGAACCCTCAGTACGGGCAGCCATCACGTCCGTCCAAGAAGGAGTTTGACTTAAGAGAGGCCTCACAGATGAATCACATACAGACAGTCATTACGGACGTCATCTAAGTACACTACAGATGAGGGTTAATCGCCACTCGGAAGAACTGCCCCGTACGTGCCACCTCGACCGCGTTCTGCAACACACAATTTAATTTCATATAACAGATGTAGGAAGAACCAAGCTCACAGAATCAAGGATATCATTGCACGGACATAAGAAAGTGAAGTGGCAAGTTTCAGGGATACTGCAAGAGGAACAGGTGAAGTGTTGCAGGAAGGAGATCCCAAGAGGCAAGAAAATACTCACATTAAAGTTCGATTAGGAGGTACATGGGTGAGGTATAGTCTTCAAGGTGGTGATGGCGATGATGGTGATGGTGATGTTGGTGGTGGTGATGGTGGTGGTATTGATGATGGTGATAGTGACGGTGGTGAAGGTATTAGTAATGGTGATGGTGGTATTAGTAATGGCGATAGTAATGGTGGCGATGTTCTTGGTAATGGCGGTGATGATGGTGATGGTGGTGGTGATGGGTTGGGGATGATGATATTCATACATGTGTACGTGATGGTCGTGGAGGTTAGGACAAGGCCGCCACGCACCTGAGCTTCACTACCGTGTGTACGTGACAGGTGTGGAGGTATGTGACAGGTGTGGAGGTATGTGACAGGTGTGGAGGTATGTGACAGGTGTGGAGGTATGTGACAGGTGTGGAGGTATGTGACAGGTGTGGAGGTATGTGACAGGTGTGAAGATATGTGACAGTTGTGGAGGTATGTGACAGGTGTGGAGGTATGTGACAGGTGTGGAGGTATGAGAGAGCTTGATTGAAACAATTTATTTAGCCAGAAAAAATACAGATACAGAGTGGATAATAATAACAATATTAACATGGTTGTGGAGGTATTTGACAGATGTAGAAGTATATGACAGGATGTGGAGGTATGTGACAGGCGTGTAGGTATGTGATAGGTGTGGAGGTATGTGACAGGTGTGGAGGTATGTGACAGGTGTGGAGGTAAGGACACAAACACCACGTACACCGGAGTCACCTGTACCGGGGTCTGAGAGTAAATATAGGTAGTGACGGAGCGTGTTAGAGCAGGTGACTTCCATCAAGGTCATCACACTTACCGATAACATCTTATATAAAGGTCTGACTTACTTATCTTAAATACCATTGGACAGAATATAAAACTCCTTATAAGTTGTCCTAAATTAAAGTATTGGTCCATTTAGTGGTTAATGAAGGAGGTATAACGTGACATCTTGAGCAACATTGTGAGGCTCTTATATTATGGGTCATTTTGTTTACTGTGGATGGTGGAGAAGATGGTGGTGATGGTGGAGGTGATGGTAGTGATGGTGGTGGTGATGATGGTGGTGATGGTGGTGCTGTTGGTGATGGTGGTGGACATAATGGTGATGGTGGTGATGATGGTGGTGATGGTGGAGGTGATGGTAGTGATGATGATGGTGCTGATGGAGGTGATGGTGGTGCTGTTGGTGATGGTGGTGGATATAATGGTGATGGTGGTGATGATGGTGGTGGGTGGGAGATGATGATGGTGATGGTGGGGGTGATGGTGGAGGTAACGGTGATGATGATGGTGGTGATGGTGGTGGGTGGTGATTGGTGGAGGTGAAGGTGATGGTGGAGTGATGGTGGTAATAATGCTGGTGATGGTGGAGAAGATGGTAGTGATGGTGATGAAGTTGGAGATGGTGGTGGACATAATGGTGGTGATGGTGGTGATGTTGGAGATGATGATGGTGATGGTGGGTGTGATGGTGGAGGTAAAGGTGGTGATGGTAAAGGTGATGGTGGTTATGGTGGTGATGGTGGTGATGGTGGAGGTGATGGTGGTGATGGTGGTTATGTTGGTGATGGTGGTGGACATAATGGTGGTGATCGTGGAGGTGATGGTGGTGATAATGGAGGTAATGGTGATGATGGTGGTGGTGGTGATGATGGAGATGATAGTGGAGGTGATGGTGGGGTGATGGTGGTGGTGGTGATGGTGGTGATGGTGGAGGTGATGGTGGTGATAGTGGAGGTGATGGTGTTGATGGTAAGGATGGTGGTGGTGATGGTGGTGATGATGGTGGTGATGGTGGAGGTGATGGTGTTGATGGTAAGGATGGTGGAGGTGATGGTGGTGATGGTGGAGATGATGGTGGTGATGGTGGAGGTGATGGTGGTGATGGTGGAGGTGATGGTGTTGATGGTGGAGGTGATGGTGTTGATGGTAAGGATGGTGGAGGTGATGGTGGTGGTGGTGGAGATGATGGTGGTGATGGTGGAGGTGATGGTGGTGATGGTGGAGGTGATGGTGTTGATGGTGGAGGTGATGATGTTGATGGTAAGGATGGTGGTGGTGATGGTGGAGATGATGATGGTGGAGGTGATGGTGTTGATGGTAAGGTTGTGGAGGTGATGGTGGTGATGGTGGAGATGATGGTGGTGATGGTGGAGGTGATGGTGGTGATGGTGAGTAATTGTTGTTATAAGTGGTGATGGTGGAGGTGGTGGTGGCGATGGTAGTGATGGTGGAGGTAATAGTAGTGATGGTGGAGGTAATGGTGGTGATGATGGAGGTGATGGCTGTGATGGTGGAGGTAATGGTGGTGATGGTGGAGGTGACGGTGGTGATGGTGGAGGTGGTGGAGGTAATGGTGGTGATGGTAGTGATGGTGGAGGTGATGGTGGCGATGGTAGTGATGGTGGAGGTAATAGTAGTGATGGTGGAGGTGATGGTGGAAGTAATGGTGGTGATGATGGAGGTGATGGCTGTGATGGTGGAGGTAATGGTGGTGATGGTGGAGGTGATGGCTGTGAAGGTGGAGTAATGGTGGTGATGGTGGAGGTGACGGTGGTGATGGTGAAGGTGATGGTGGAGGTGATTTTGGTAATGGTGGGGGTAATGGTAGGTGACGGTGTAGGCAATGATGGTAATGGTGGTGATGGTGGAGGTAATGGTGGTGATGGTGGAGGTGAGGACGGTGGTGATGTAGGAGGTGATGGTGGAGGTACTGGGTGGTGATGGTAGTGATGGTGGAGTAAGATGGTGGCGATGGTAGTGATGTAGGAGGTAATAGTAGTGATGGTGAGGTGATGGTGGAAGTAATGGTGTAGATGATGGAGGATGGCTGTGATGGTGGGAGTGTAATGGTGGTGATGGTGGAGGTGATGGCCGTGAAGGTGGAGGCATGGTGGTGATGGTGGAGGTGACGGTGGTGATGGTGAAGGATGGTGGAGGTGATTTTGGTAATGGTGGGGGTAATGGTGGTGACGGTGTAGGCAATGATGGTAATGGTGGTGATGGTGGAGGTAATGGCGGTGATGGTTGAGGTAATGGTGGTGGAGGTGATGGTGGTGATGGTGGAGGTAATGGTGGTGGAGGTGGTGATGGTGGAGGTGATGGTGGACGTAATGGTGGTGATGATGGAGGTGACGGTGGTGATGGTGGAGGTGATGGTAGTGATGGTGGAGGTGATGGTGGTGATGATGGAGGTGATGGCTGTGATGGTGGAGGTAATGGTGGTGATGGTGGAGGCAGAGGTCACATCCGGGAATTAAACTCAATGTTTGCACTAGCAGACACACACACACACACACACCTTGACCACCGAAGGGTCAAGACGTACCTGGCGCTCCTCTGGGAGCAGCCAGGTCATCTGTTAAGTTGGCCCATACCAACTCCCTCCCCTGAACCCTCCTCCCCACCGGAATATCAACAAGTTCACGCCAGAAGTTACTATTTCATTTAGGAAAGGAATGGAACCAGTGTTAAACAGAGGTGAACAGTGGTGAACAGTGCTTAAGTCAGTGAGAACAACTCAACAGTAACAGTCTCACCCAAGTTAACCTTCACACAGTGAGGTCCCAGGTACCCAGTGATAACGGCCCGACCCAACAACAACCACCGATGTGTTAATCCGTCTACGATAGGAAGGCCTGGGACCACACCTCACTCATAGAACACCGTCTGTGAGGGAACTACTACACCACGTGAGGCCCCTCATAACACCATCTGTGAGGGAATTACTACACCACGTGAGGCCCCTAATAACACCATCTGTGAGGGAATTACTACACCACATGAGGCCCCTCATAACACCATCTGTGAGGGAATTACTACACCACGTGAGGCCCCTCTTAACACCATCTGTGAGGGAATTCCTACACCACGTGAGGCCCCTCATAACACCATCTGTGAGGGAACTACTACACCACGTGAGGCCCCTCATAACACCATCTGTGAGGGAATTACTACACCACGTGAGGCCCCTAATAACACCATCTGTGAGGGAATTACTACACCACATGAGCTCCCTCATAACACCATCTGTGAGGAACCACACACGAGGTCCTCCCAACACCATCTGGAGGGAGTTACTACACCACGCAGTTTAAGGTTCAACACCTACATTAATCTGTATGTTCACTGTATGTTCCTTTACCTTTCTCTAATGAAGGCTTTTGTTAAACCACCAATGTATGTAATAAGTCATTTATGCCCAATGTATATTTTCAGCCTTCGGGCTGCAGAACTTTTTCAATAAACCGTTAATTATTATTATTATTATTATTATTATTACACACACACACACACACACACACACACACACACACACACACATCCTTGACCACCGTAGGGTCAAGACCTATTCAGGCGCTGCTCCTGCTGAGCAGCGGCCCCCCTTGGCTCATGTTCGGCCCATTTCCTAAGTCCCTCTCCCCGACCCATCCTCACCGCCGGGATATCAACATAATCAAAAGTGACAATTTCGTTTCGGAAAGAAGTGGGACCAGTGATGAACAGTGTTTAAGCCAGTGAATTCAGCACTAGACAGTACCAGTGAGAGCCGTGACCCACCAGTGGGATAAGCACCCCTGGGAACTGACCACCATCTTCTGACAAGGAGGTGCTAATCAGTCCACCCAGGGAACAACAGAGGGCCGGCGGGCTAGGCACCTAACTACGAGATAACACAACACCACTGGGCAGAGTGAGGTACTGTGACACTACCCCACACCACCTGGTGTCCCCATGACCACGTGAGGTCCTTCATATCAACACCCGAGGACGAGTTACTACATCACGTGACCACCACACCACCTGATGTCTC